ACATATAGTCTTTGTCATGCCAAGCACAATTTAGAATTTTGAAAACTCAATTCAAATTGTGTGAGAAAGTGATAAAAAGACAGATTACCCATGTCTTTCTTCACAATATTGTAGAAGACTCCTCCTTGCTGGAACAGATGAGGCAGTTTCTTGGCATATGACCAGACATCTTCACCTGAGAGAAACAGAACAAGAGAGAGGAGAAGAGAAAACATTAAATAGACAGGCCTCACAGACATTTAGTAATCAATAATTAAACATGATCTGAAATTACAGAAGAATCATCCTGATTTGTAAATTACATAAATAGGCTTGTATCATACAATCCAGAGTCACAAACACACTTAAATAGATGTTGATTCTAGTATGACACAGTCTTCTCATAAAGCAGATCTATAACAGGAGGGTGTGTCTTACCCATAAGTGCTGCCAGGAGACACAGTGATGACATCTCAAGGTCAATGTTGTCCTGAAGTTCTCTGCTACTGGTGCGGCTGAGTCGTGGGTCAGAGTCAACGTGCGTTTCAGGCGTGTGAGAGTGCGTCTGGGTCATGGGAGTATCGGGCGAGCTCTCTTTCAACGCTTCCACAGAGATGCGGTCGCCATGCTGAAGCGCCACGGGCTGGTTCTGGTCCTCGGGACGTGGCGGGGGCAGCTCTCTGGGTGGGAAGCCATGTCGGATGCACAGCTGTCCGGGCGACAAGTTGAAGACCTGGACGATGGAATTCTGGAGCTCACCGTAGGTGGTGTGCGGTTGCAGTGTAAGCATGGTCTGCCGCCCATCGCTGGTCGTTACACGAATTTTCTTCTCTCCGCTGGTGGGCGGCACTTTGGTGGGTGTGGGAGGTGCAGAGGATGATGAAGAGGAAGGAAATGACAGACGAGGATCCTGTTGGCGCAAGCGGTCCGTGCTGCGGCGCTGGGACAGGGCCGCCTGCTCGCTGATGCTGTGCTGCAAGACCCTCTCGGTTCTGCTCATCACCAGCTCCTCTTTATGCAGGGTTTTGCCCTTCTGTCCCGTCAGGATGATTTTAGTAGGAGGGTGAGTGGCAGATTCACTCCCGTCTCTAACGTCCTGCACATGAGCACCTTCGATGGCCACTGGATTGTATTCGTCTTGGCTCCTCTTGGCGGTGTGATGCAAGATGGTGTTCACCACTTTTTGGACCAGAATCTCACTGCCGAACTCACCGGGGAAGTGCTTTGTGACGAGTCGCATCGTCACATCGTAAACGTTGCTGTTGAGAGTTGGATCCGTTTCGTACTGGAACCAATAAACGGTCTCTCGCACCACGCGGCCGCCCCACTCCAGAGTGATGGGGAAAGCTTCGGGAAGATTTTCGTACTCCTTGCCGTCCCAGAAGTGTTTGAACCCGCAGCCACACTTCCCACCCTGTGAGCGAGTGTTGGTACGGTCTCCATCCAAATAGACCACAGAGCCGTCGCCACAAACACGCCGCACTGAAGTTCCGTGACACCAGGTGCAGGCCGTGAGTGTGCTGAGTTTGTAGTCGGGCACCAGCACATCTTTTTCTGGGTTATAGGAACAAACCAAACTATTTAAAGGAAAGCTGTAGTTCTTGTCCGCTCGCAGCGTCCCGTGAGTCGACTTGGCCAAGTTGTAGAGTTTCCCTCCCGGTATGAGCCACTCTGCTGGCACGTGGAGCTCTGAAAGGGCATTGCAGACAAGGCAGCGGTGGAGACGACCCTCCTGAACGGATTTCTTAGCCGCTTCCGTCACCTCCTCAGGCTGCACGCCGATCACTCCAGTGCGTCGATATATGTACTGGTGGACGTCAGCGACTAGAGCGGGGTGGATGCCGTGCTTGTCCATGAAGACGTCTTCCATTGCGCCTACGAGCCGCAGCAGGTATTTATCCTGCAGGCTCCGGTCGCCCCCGATCACACAGCTTCCATTGGAGTCCAAGCTCACGTATTTGCGAATCAGCTCTTGAGGAACACCCCAAGCTTTCGGGAGCAGTGCAGCAGGTAAACGGGGCAAAGGCAAGCCCTTGATGCCCACTAGGGGTAGATAGTGATTTCTGCCAGAGCTACTCCAGGCAATGCAGATGGGCTTGTTCAGAGTGCCATCTTTTCCTCGGCACTGCTCTTCTGGAACCAGGCCTGGCAAGAAGGTGGCGGAGTAATCGCCTGAGCTGCGCATGCCGCTCAGGGAGTCCAACAGGATTATGGGTCTGTGCAGTACATTCGCCAGGCCGAATATGTGAATGTTCCTAAGGCCCAACGGAACACCTTCTGGAGGGACAAACAACGGGTCACACTCATTAATAATGTCTTCCCATTCTGCGGCATCTATAAAGTCCTGGAAAAGGGCTTTGTAGCGGTCTAAGTTCTGCTTGAAATTGAGTTTTAGGTTTTCTCGAAGGGCATGCCAGAAGAGCTCACGTCCAACTAATGCCCTGGACACGGCGTGTACCAGGCAGTGTCCGTCTCCGTCCACGTGCACAGGAATAAGACACTCTCTATTTAAGTTTGCTTTCTTGATCTCCTCCAAAGTGTCATGCAGGTAGATCAGGCTTCCTGACCGGTCCCGTCCATACCCAACAGTGGACACATGCTCTTGCTCGATGAGAAATGCACGGTCCCCAAGAAGCGAGCAGTCGAAGATATCTCCCTGGTTCATTTCCTTCAAGAGTTTGGCAGTGCCTGTCTGTTTGTCCATACCATAGCGGGTGAGGATGGGAGACAGCAGCTTGCAGTGATAGTTGGACAGTCCCATCACTTTCACCAGCTCGGAGCCCTTTTTAGGAGGGCCTGGCACACCCAGCAAAGCATTTCTCAGCAAATTATGAAGCACTACATCTGGGTCAGTCACTTCCTCCACATTCGCGAGGTTCTTCTGCTCGTGTCTCTGGCCGCATTCAGTGCACTCGATGCTCATGGAGGTGTGTGCGGGAAAGAAGAGCTTCGCCTGGCACTGCGGGTCCGGGCACATCCCGCATAAAATGCGCTTGTCCTTCTGCTTCGAGCCCGGAATCAACGACATAGTCCAATCTAATATCTCTTTTACGCAGCGGTTTACAAAAGCATCGCTGTCTAATCAGTGACGGGCGATAGAAAATTATGTCACCTCACGCAGTTTCTGTTTTCCAGTAACAAACACAACACGGAAGCGGTTCTGTAACACAGTGTGACCCTATGGGCAGCACAAGGCATGCTGGGAGATGAAGTTCTTAATCGTCACAGGTCTTCTAACGACATTATTTAAAAAAATAATTGAAATGTATTCTAATATTATACAAAAATTATTGGGTTTTCTTTTCTTTTCTTTTTTTACGAAATGCAATATTTGTTTACTACCGACTGGGACGAATCATACGATAAAATAACAAAAGTGACTTTAACAAAACTACAATATCCATTTGTGTTGTGTTTATTGAGTTCAGCAATCTTTACATGGGCGTGAGAATAAACTGCAGCTGTTTTAGAAAAACATACACTGTTTCATACATTGTTTCTTTCTCTTTCTCTGTATAAGACGAGTACTTAAAGTTCACAGGCTGAAAAAATAAAATGTAATGTTATGTTGCATAAGCTATAGCAAATAATATTGTTTATTATAATGTGATCTAATATTTATAAATTAAATTATTGTCGAGTTGAGATAATTATATTTTTTTGCCAAAAGAGACAACATCATGTTTGATACTGAACATCTGATTTGTGAAGAAAACAAATCAAAAAGTGAATAGGCTATTGTGAATGCAATCCTTTAATTGTGCATCATTTTCAATCAGTATTTTTGTTGAGTTATGTAAATTCCAGTATATAAAACAAGTAAAACTAGTTATGCAATTAGCTTTACAATAAAACTGGCCGGTTTATTTCAAAACAGTATAAATTACAATTCCCATTACAAAATGCTATTAAACATAATGCATTATTTGCCATGTGGAGGAAAGGTTCATAACTTTTAGAAAAATGACTAAAATGACTTACTTTCACCTTTAAACAGAATTTTCTTATGTTAAGTAATTTCCAATAAATCAAATTTCGTTGAATTATGCAAAAAATGTTAATAAAGAGTATGCTAAATAGTACATAAAATGCTAGCTGTAAAATTAGTCTCGTTAGACTAATTAGTGAGTTGACTATTTTTTCCCCCCCAAAAACGTCTAAAATGTAATATCCATTACAGAATGCCATAATACATCAAATATATTGTAGAGGAAATGTAAATGACTTTCAGAAAAAAAAACATTAAAAAAAACATAATTTTCTCTTGTGATGAATTTTAAACATTGAGAACATGAATAGTGAGTTTATTTGTAGCCTACACGTGAGAACGTTTTTCATAAATTATACACATAAATAACAAATTGTGTGCAATGAACAGGGTGAATGGGTGAAGGTAATTTTATTTATTTAATTTTTTTATGTATTTGTTATAGATTTAAAACCTCTATTTTAAACCCATGGCTCCTTCCGGGTTCAATGGGTTGGCCTAAAAAACGTCACGACCGAACAAAGACAGGAAAGGAAGACTGGAAGAGAAGAGAAGAGAGAGAGAGAGAGAAAAAAAAGACTGGAAGAGAAGAGAAGAGAGAGAGAGAGAGAAAAAAAAAAGACTGGAAGAGAAGAGTAGCGGCGCTCTGTTTCTATTCGATGCAACCCGGAGATCAGTGAAATCAGATTATGAACCGATTAACATATTAGATAAATATACAGTTTGTTTAAAACATTGATCGTTTCCAACATATGAACAGATCCAGATATCAGATGACACATTTATTAACTTTACCTAATGAAACAGTACATTTTCTGCTGGGATTATTAGTTCGGAATAGAGTTTGTATCAGATAACACCTTAGATTTAGTAAATAAACAACGCACTTTAGTAACTTTTATTACCGTGTCTATTATCGATGTGATCTGATCAAATGGTTCTTTTGTGGAGTGGAAGATGTTTTTTAAAGTGGAGGCTGGCTTGACTGCAGTTCAGATTCAGAGTCGTGCCGACAGAAGATTAAACTGAGTTTCAGCACCAGAAGGAATTAAGAGAGGTGTGTAGAGGTGTGCACTTTTTGTCTCGGTGTGTAAGCATAAAAGGTTACCATGGTATTTTTTAAGGGTGGTTCATCGATCATAAGCATTTGGAGACCTTGAAAATGTCTGAATATCATTCCATTAGATTACATGGCTAAAATATTAAGTTAGAAAAGGTCATAATTTGTTGCATATTTGATACTTGTTTTATGCATTTCTTGCTTATTGTGTTCTATTTTTCTTTTCTCTTATTTTCATTATTAATAACTATATTTTTTTGTATCTATAAATTAAGCTTAACTACATTATTTAACACGAACTACAAAAATACTTCTAGAGTAGCCTAATATTAAAAGCTGAGGTTGTATTAATATTATTTAATGGACCTGAGCTGACATAAACTGACAATACATTTTTATTAACTAATTATAATTTAATATTATTGCTTGTTGTTAGTTAACGTTATTACATGCATTAATTAATGGGACTTTGCTGGAAAGAATGACTGGTATTATTTATGTAAAATAAGCTATATGTATCTACAGGTGGCACTGTAGTGCTGCAGTTTATGTTTGATGTGCTTTGCATTAACATTTGTATGTGTTCCAGATGGATGAGTTATTGGGGAAGTTTCTGGAAGATCAGAAAACAAAGATAGCAGAGGAGAAGGCATGTCTGGAACAGGATCCCCCTTACATGGAGATGAGGGTGAGAGAGAGTTAATGATGGGGATAAAGAGAATGTATGTGACTGGTCTTCATTGTAATGTTGTTAAATATTGATGTATCAGAGGCGGACAGGCCACGTTCTCCAGAAAGAGGACATCCCTCCACGCACAAGTCAGCAAGGTACAGCACTGTTTGCAATTTAATATGGTTGTTAATTAATTTCTGTTAAATGCATACCTGGTTTTAAAGGTGTGTATGTGTAATTTCATTATGTAGATGGTGTGAGTCTGCCACTCGGAGAGGAATATGAGAGAAAGAAACACAAACTGCAAGAAGAACTCAGGAATGATTACAGGAAATACATGGCAGAGGTGAACACAATGGCAAGCGTGCCATCCCCAAAACTATTTCAAACACAATAGGAAACTTTTATACAGACCCATATTACAGACCTCTGATTAAACAGCTGTACATACGCGTATCTGCATTGTTATAAAGAGAAGCCTCACATCTTGAGCTATAACACAGCTTTTCTTTTTTCTGTATACTTAAAATAATATATTAATAAATATTTATGTCATTTCATGTTAAAGGGATAGTTTACCCAAAAATGAAAATTCTGTCATCATTTATTGGCCCTCATGTTGTTCCAAACCTTTATGAGCTCCTTTCATCTGTTGAGCATAAAAGAAGATATTTTGAGGAATGTGTGTAACCAAACAGCTGACAGCAGCCATTGACTTCTATAGTATGGGGAAAAAAATATAAGGCCACCCAGAGTATGTGATTTTGCATATGTGTGGTTTCAGTTACATGTGGTTCCTACATTTTTCCCGTAAATTAGTGTGAATTTTAGTATGAATGTTTTTGGTGAATCGCGATTTGATTGTGAAAATGTTTGTATCAAATTTTTGTGTACACATGTTTAGTGAATGAGACCAAATCTTTCTGTCTCTTGCAGAAAGATCACTGGGATGCTGGTGACATTCACACCGTTCCAGAGAGAAGACGAATACCCAGGGTACAGTATTAGGTCAAAAGCATGATTGTTTCTGTTTCCCTCCTTCGGTACAACACAGTTTTGTGAGGTTGAGATTTCACTTCTGTGATGTATGTTACACTTACTAAAAAGTATTATTGTATTACCATGTTTTTACTACATGGCACAATTGTAATAATGCGTTTTTGATGCTATCCAGCTCTCCACCATCGCATCCTACTTCTTCTGAACTACTTCATTAGAAAAGCCACATCACCTGCTAGTGTATCATGCATTACCATAATATTACCATCTGATATTATCACTGTACTATGGTTCTGCCAAAGCACTGTTTTGTAAGGGCAAATCTCTCCCGCTCACTTTTTCAGACGGTCCGTGTGAGGGATGTGGCCACCCTTACAGAGGTGTGTGGGCTGGGATGGGGCGTGTGTAGCTCTGAGGAAGACTGCAGTGATGAAGAACTCATGCTTTTGCAAGGGAGGCGACATCAGAGAGAGAGAGACACCAGGACGGCAAACAGGTGAGGACAGAGACAGAGGGAGAGATGTTTAGAACTGGTGACTCATGTCACGAATATTTATATATATAAATGAACATCTCTGTCTCTCTCTTTCTCATAAGAAGAGGGGAATTGTACACAGAGACAGGACATCACACGAGCAAACTACAGCACAGAAACAGGTAAAACATGCATACACTGATTAGATTGGCAAACTGGCAGTTTTAATTAGTTTATTTTTTTTGAGGGGAAGAGGCGGAGCTGGTGCACCACTCAGAGACAGCACTGGAAATCTAATTAGTATGATTTATTTAGTATGATTTAATCTCCTTTTAGTTTGTTAGTTATGGAACATGTGACTATAGAAATGATATGTTTGTGTGTGTGTAGCTGATCTGAAGAAGATGCATCTTTTGAATGCAGCAGCTGCAGCACCACCACAAAGGCCGGAGAGGCCAGGTAACATGTTAACACTTGTTCACATACAAACACGTATGGTGTCTTTAGTGAATGTTTACATCCTCAAGTTCAATGTGTGTGTATTTGAAGGTTTTGTTGAGACACACACTCCACGGTTTGCAAGAGGGAATGTGTTTAATCAGATGCTGTCACCCCAGCAACTACTGGAGCAAGACCAATACAAAGCTTACCTGAGACTCCAGGTACACACATGCACTACTGTTCATGTTTCGGGTTGGTAGGATTTTTAGAAAAATATAATATTATTATTAATATTTTATCCAGCAAAGATACATTAAATTGAACAAAAGTGAGAGTAAGGACTTTTACATTGTTACAAAAAAATATTTTTCAAATAAATGCTGTTGCTATGAACTCCTATGCTGTTCTATTCTTCAAACATATTAAGCAGAAGCATTTCATGTCACTGTTGAAGTATTAAGAATTCTTAACGATATTAGAAGAAATAAGAAGAAATATTTCTTAAGCACCAAATCGGACTGGAGTGATGATGCTGAAAATTCAGCTTTGCCATCACAGGAATAAACTGCATTTTAAAATACATTAAAATTAAAAACAGTTGTTTAAATTGTAATTATTTTTCACAATATTACTGTTTCTACAGCATTTTGACCAAAAAAATGCAGCCTTGGTGAGCTTATGTGACTTCTTTCCAAAACATATATATATATATATATATATATATATATAAAATCTTACCAACACTAGACTTTTGAACAGTAGTGTACATATACACAGCCTCTTCACACTCATACATATATTTATATTAAATTATAGATATTGTATCATAGATTTTCCGTGTGGTTCAATTTTAAAACGTTGGATCCCATTGTACCTATATATATAAACCTAATTTTTTGTGCGTGTGTGTTTATTTTTAATTTTTTAATTTTGTGTGTGGCATTAGATAGAAGATAAGCAAAGGAAGCAGGCGGAGGAGAGAAAGTGGATGAGGGCAGAGGAGGAGAGGGAGGACAGGCGACTGGCAGAACAGAGAGAGAAAATCAGGAGAGAGTATGAAGAGGAGCAGGAGAGCAGAAAACGCAGAGAGATGAAGGTCAGACAGACGCACATGCACTCCTGCCTGTTTTATTTTTAGTGATGCACAATGTAATAATGTGATAATAGTTCACTTTAAATCACATTTTCCATCCAAATAAAGGGAATTTAAGTTCTTAAGGAAATGCCATCAAATGCATGTCGTCGTGTTTAATTTTCCAGTGCATTATGTGAGCACTCCTGATGACCTCAGACCATCTCAGTGACCAGCACTGCTGACTTTAAGTAAGCTTATCTTTTTGCAGCAAAAACTGAAGAATGAAGAACTCGCTCGTCTTGTGGAGGAGAGACGGAGGGATGCAGAAAAAAAGAAAGAAGAAGAAGAGAAAGAGAGAGCTGCTGTAAGAGAACAGGAAGAGCAAGAAAGACAAATACGACTGCAACAGGTGTGTGAAAATGAAATTTACTGGAGTGAGCTACATCTCAAAAGCTGTATATATTTAAGATATATTTGCTGAAAATTTCTCTAGATGTAGTGAGTGTGTGTAACAGTATTGTCATCTTTTTTTTCATTTTTAGGTTCAACGTGCACCATCCCCTCCTATCCCTACCCTACAGAAGAAACACCGCAACCCTTCAAATGCTACGGTAACAAAAACGGTTGGGAACACAAACTTTATTTGTACAAACAAACATGGAAAAAGCTCATGTTCACTTCATGTGTATAAAATTGTGTATAACACATAACAGTGACTATAAAATATAAATTTTAGGTTATAGGAATGGTATATTTTGAGTTTTGATATTTGGGATAGGGTTAGTGGGTTAGTTTTGGGCTATTGTTGATTGGCCATTGGCTAGTTTTGTTATGCAGATCTGGCAACCATGATTTTCTTCTCATGACCTTGTAACCAGACCCTCAGCCTAATTACCAGAACTCTGTCGTCCTTCCTTCAGATAATGGCAAACACTCAGGTTGACTTCTCACTCACTAAAGTCTATGTATTTTTCAGGATTTCTCTGCGTTTCGGGCTCTTCCATCTCCAGAAAACAGAAACAACCAGAGAACAGAGAGTAAACACTCATCCTTGTGCACACATATCATGATGGAGATGTCCTATTGGCTTTTTTGTTTTTATATATTAATCTAATAATATTTACTATACCCTAAACCTGAGCTTTACATAATTGATTTGCCCAAAATTTAGGTGATTTCAGGTTTTACAAACATTGCGAGTATTTGTTCCCTAAAGTATTTTGGTCTTTAATTCATAGACTAACACCTTGTCTACACCGGACGCAACAGTTGTCGTGTCGTGTCGCGCCGTGCTGCAACAGCTAAAGTCTGCTGGCAGAATGGTTTGACCCACATTTATCTCTTCTCCTTCATTGTTGTTCATGTTACTGTTGTAGAAGGTCAGCATCCGTTGCGACCCAAGCCAATGAAAGATCTGTATCTGTGGCCAGTCAGGACACAGTTTGCACCACTGGACTTTTAATAGGTATGAGTTTACCTTGTTACTGCTCTGATTGGCTTAATAACTGGAGAAGTGATGTTTCATTGCTTCATTCAATGGAGAATGATTCTGATTTGATTGTAAAGGGATACTTCACCCAAAAATGAAAATTCTGTCATCATTTACTCACCATCACAAACTGTCGTCCCAAACCTGTATGACTGTTTTTCTTCTGTGGAAGAAAGAAAGACGATATTTTGAGTTGAAGTCAGTGGGCACCAAAATAGTTTGGTTCACAATGTTCTCCAAATCTCTTCTTTTTTGTTCTGCAGAAGAAAGAAAGTCATACAGTTTGGGAACAATATGACGGTGAGTAAATGATGACAGGATATTCATCCATTTAACTGATATTAAGGCTCAGGCTTCTGACATGGCTGATTTTGATTGACAGGTGCAGTGGATCTGGAGGCCGCACTGCAGAGGAAAAAGGAACGTTATAGGTGTGAACTACAGGAACAAATCGCAGAGAAACAGAGTCACAGGAGAAGGTGTGTGTTCATGCAAAATAGTCTGACTGGTGTATTTGGTTTATATTGTTACCTCATTAGAAACATTTAAAAAAATTGTCAGTGTACAATGGATAATTCACCCAAAAATGAACATTTACTGACTCTAATGACGTTCCAAACCCAGTTTTCTTTCTTCTGTGGAACACAAAAGAGACAATAGGCAGAACGTTCATGCCGCTCTCATGAACTATTCCTGTAATTCAACTTTCTTTAGGGAGAAGGAACTGGACCTGAGAGTTCCAACAGATGCTGAGAAAAAGGTAACAAGGTGTGTTTGTGTATTCACATATTTGTTGATGTTCTTGTACTGATTTTCTGACCTTTTCCTTTAAAGCAGCTCTTTGTGAGTGAGGCGTCTGCGTACAGAAAGCAACCAAGGGATGACATCATCCGCCTGGACACTGCTGAGCCTGCTGAGGGTGTTTTGCAATACAGGACAGACCCTCTGTCTCCATGCAGGTATATATGGATATACATAAGTGCAAACACACAAGCACACATATTTGCACGTGCTGTACTTCAAGCTCACAAACACGTTTTTGTTTTTTTCTGCAGGATGCCTTTTGTCCCTACTCACCTCCCATTCCTTACAGATGCCTATAAGACTCCAAATAATGATTCTGAGAGTTTGATGAGCCCCAGTAGAGCCTGTAAGACACATATGACACAACAGATTACATAAAATATTACTTGCAGTGAGGGTAAACATGGTTTTGTGTGGTGAAATATTGGGTGCAGAGAGTGGGTGCATATGAATCATATTTGCTTACTTTTGTGCTGTAAATAATTTTGGCACTGTGTTCTGGATCTCTTATTCAAAACCACTTGAATCTACATGGCATGAAAACTAATTTTTAAATCCATTTAGCATAAGATTCCTACTGGTGCTACATCATTACTCTGTGTTTGTTTCCACAGATTACCCAATAACGGGAGTTTCTTTTTCAACATCATCAGGAGAGCCACACTCACTCAGTACGCACAGCAGAAGCACTCACAGACAGTAAGAGTGCAACAGACACTCACAAAAAAGCAATTCAATCATGACAACTCTCTGAAGATTTTAGCATGGTGATGGATATGACAATGTTAATGTATTTGATCTTGGCGGAACAGATCTGCTACGCTGCTGCATATAAATATATATATTCCCAAAAAATATATAACTTTTACCAATACATACTTATTGGTCAGTATGGCTACATCAATATACCAGTGAAATAACTGTTCTCTACTGTATGTGCAGCACTCATATATAACACATTATGTTATATCCTCTAGAAAAAGTTTACATTTTCTTTATTACACTTTAATAAATGATGTCTATATTTTATTATGCAGTCACTGTTTTATCAAGTCAAGTCACCTTTAATTATTATAGCACTTTATACAATACAGATTGTGTCAAAGCAGCTTTACAGTGTTAAACAGGAAAAAGTTTCATTAATGCAAACACAATTCAATTCTGCTGTAAAGCAGCTCTAAAAACAGGACAATAGTAAACAGTAGTTTTATAAAAGCAATATTGTGAATAATCATAACTAAGAGAGCTGCAGGCACTCCAGCATGCCTAATAACTTTAACTGTGACCGTTTTTACAACATACAGTAGCACTTCATGTGTGTGTTTGTAGGCACAGGACGGATGTGTTTGACATGGCTCGTTTGCGTATGCCTGTGCGAGGCCCCTCCGCCCGTGGCACTGAGCCAATCAGCTTAAAGGGAGCTGATGACATCATGTACAGGGGTAAGAACTGGCTGGCTAATACCAATATAAATCTGAGCTATGAGGATTGTAGTTACTGAAATAAATATTAGTTTATGAGTTCTTGTAGTTCCTTCAATATATAGCAGGTCAAATCATACTAAAGTCATTTGTAGTTGGCTAAAAATAAATATGACTGTAAAATGAGAGCTCAATTTAATGTTTGGTCTTATGTAATTCCATCTTTTGTGATGAAACTGACACATTTTTTCCCACATTTCTCAGATGCCTTTATGCCTAGAACATGGCAGTCTGTAAGTTTTCCTTTCTCACTATGAATGTATGGCGTGCTTGTTACTTCCTGTTCTTGTTATTTCCGTTGTGTTCTGCAGTACTAGATGCAGCTCCATCAGCACTGAATGATGTTTAACATGGCAGTTCTGTTTTTCTATCACACAGAGGGACAGAGATGTTGAGGGCGGACGAGGATCTGTGCTTCTGTCAGAAAGTGAATTTATTGGTGTTGCGAGTATTTGTTCCCTAAAGTATTTTGGTCTTTAATTCATAGACTAACACCTTGTCTACACCGGACGCAACAGTTGTCGTGTCGTGTCGCGCCGTGCTGCAACAGCTAAAGTCTGTCTACACTGGACGCGACAAAGCGACCGTTGAAAATCATTTGAAATTTGTGTCAGTATGTCATAAATAGAACGCAGCAGCAGTTTACTGTCAGGAATTTGTCGCGCCGCACCGCATCCAGTGTAGACAGCATAATATGTTCTGTTGTATTTTGTCGCGTCCGGTGTAGACACGGTGTAAGTTGGAAGTATATTTAATTTTTACTAGCTAATACCATCCTCACATATTTTTGAAGGGGTTAACTGTATTTGTTTTCTTCAGAGTACAGAAGTGAGGTTGTAAATGAGCTGTGTGCGTTAAGAAGATGTCTGCGCAGTGAACAGCGGCATCTGGAGGAGCAGCTCTTGCAGACGGAGTGGGAGCATCTCCCCTCCCCCCTCACGGACAGGTACAGTATACAGTGTGTTTGTGTGTTGATAGTTAGCCACATGTGATCTGTACATGAATACAGCTGGTCATGACTGTGTTTGTACTGGTTTTAGCTGGTTTTGCTTTTCATCGCTGGAAAACTCTTTTCCAGTGTGATCTCTCAAACTAATGGTTTATAATTTTGCTGTCTGGAAGGAAATGATGCTTTGGAATGATCTCTACAGCAATATTCCCGATGGATACACCCTAAAAGGAATCAAAGTAATAAAAATGTGATGTTTGTGTTTTTTTTTTTACATGACATAAATACGGCCAATGAATTCCAGGAATGCACTGAGTACAGAATTTATCTAAAAGATACACACATGTAAATAAAAAGCAACCTAAATGGCAGCTTAGTTGGCAGAAATAGGCTACATGTTTTTCAGACTTTTAGTTTATGTATTCTAGTCTTAGCCAAGGTAAGGTTTTCATTCAGTTTGTTTGGGTTCCAGTTTTGCAATGTTCTGTTGTGTTTAAAATTTTGTTTTTGAATCAATTAGTTTTAGTAGATAGTGAAGAACAAGCAGACAACAAGTGGCCACCACCACCAGGATTTACATATGCATAATTTATATATGATGACTTCAGTATAATTCTAAAGTGTGGAAAATAGTCATCATAAAGCATGATATAATAAACAGTGTATATGTGTGTGTTTAGTCTGCAGAGGGGAAGCCAGTGCAGCTGCAGTCCTTCAATATGAGGAAGCTCAGAGACACAAACACTCCCAGGATGAAGAGACTACAAGCCTTCGGCCATCACAACACCACAGCAGGTGTGTGTGTTTGTCTTTGTCTCTGTGTATGTTTTATGATTCTGGAGATGCACAACTTATTTCAATTATGTGTTTAGGAGTCTGCTCTGATGACGATGATGAAGCAAGTCGTGGTGATGAGCATTTTACCCTGCAGTCTCCTGGCAGGCCCAGCTCCATTGATACCGCCACTACCGAGCCCTGGATTCGAGCAGAGACATCAGACACGCTCAGAAGGCTGATGTCTGGCTCTGAACTTTAAGACGGGTCATAATATACATGACCGCACATGCTCAGAGTGTGTGAGCACTTTATTGCAATGCAGTATATATATGATATTTTATGTAGTCTTCAGATCTCTTAAATAAAAGACTGATCAGCGGAATCTCTACAAGATCAACTGCTTTAACTGCATCACAAAATCTCTTCTGTGAACTGATTTGTGGATCCATGATATCAAGTAGTTACTTTTAACAAAATACAGAGGGAATGATACATTTCTAATCTTTCTGGGCTTTTTTTGTGGTATTTTTGTCCAAGACATAAATACTTTATTGCAATGCAGTATATATATGATATTTTATGTAGTCTTCAGATCTCTTAAATAAAAGACTGATCAGCGGAATCTCTACAAGATCAACTGCTTTAACTGCATCACAAAATCTCTTCTGTGAACTGATTTGTGGATCCATGATATTTAGTAGTTACTTTTAACAAAATACAGAGGGAATGATACATTTCTAATCTTTCTGGGCTTTTTTTGTGGTATTTTTTTCCAAGACATAAATTAATGTCTTTGCATTATATAAGAAAACATCAAACCAAGTGACATTTATTTTAAAGAAAAGTATGAACACACTTTATCACAAGATGATATTTATTTTCATAGTGTTATATATCACTTTCTCATACATCTGTTTTTTTGTTTGTTTGATTACACACTGTTGACTGCTTTCCGCTGGTGTACAGTTATCTTATTATTTATCATTAGATCAGAATGGAGTTGCTTTCCCAGTTCCTCCAGACAGCGAGAGGAAATCTGCTAAGCTGTCTGCACGAGAGCGACGCAGACTAGCAAACCTTCGGGTAATTCACACTGAAACATCTAAACATATGTCTGTATAGTGACAGCAGATAATATTTTTTGAATAATTTGATTTTTTAATATTTTTCAATTTGATAAAGTTATTGGAAATGATTAATAATGTTCTGTTCACAATATATTTGCAATGTTCTGTTGTGTTTAAAATTTTGTTTTTGAATCAATTAGTTTTAGTAGATAGTGAAGAACAAGCAGACAACAAGTGGCCACCACCACCAGGATTTACATATGCATAATTTATATATGATGACTTCAGTATAATTCTAAAGTGTGGAAAATAGTCATCATAAAGCATGATATAATAAACAGTGTATATGTGTGTGTTTAGTCTGCAGAGGGGAAGCCAGTGCAGCTGCAGTCCTTCAATATGAGGAAGCTCAGAGACACAAACACTCCCAGGATGAAGAGACTACAAGCCTTCGGCCATCACAACACCACAGCAGGTGTGTGTGTTTGTCTTTGTCTCTGTGTATGTTTTATGATTCTGGAGATGCACAACTTATTTCAATTATGTGTTTAGGAGTCTGCTCTGATGACGATGATGAGGCAAGTCGTGGTGATGAGCATTTTACCCTGCAGTCTCCTGGCAGGCCCAGCTCCATTGATACCGCCACTACCGAGCCCTGGATTCGAGCAGAGACATCAGACACGCTCAGAAGGCTGATGTCTGGCTCTGAACTTTAAGACGGGTCATAATATACATGACCGCACATGCTCAGAGTGTGTGAGCACTTTATTGCAATGCAGTATATATATGATATTTTATGTAGTCTTCAGATCTCTTAAATAAAAGACTGATCAGCGGAATCTCTACAAGATCAACTGCTTTAACTGCATCACAAAATCTCTTCTGTGAACTGATTTGTGGATCCATGATATTTAGTAGTTACTTTTAACAAAATACAGAGGGAATGATACATTTCTAATCTTTCTGGGCTTTTTTTGTGGTATTTTTTTCCAAGACATAAATACTTTTTAGCATTTTGACAGCTTTTTAAAGTGTTTTTACACCAGGATTCACCAGAGTAAATAATATATTGAAAGCACCATAATCCTGATTGCTTGGAGGCTTACGGCCTGTTCAAACCAAGGATGATAACTATAATGATAATGTCCTCAAAATCATTCAGAATTTTAAAATATTAAATGGCGAAGTCTACACATCTACTGTATGAAAGGGGCACTTTCAGAATGATTTTTTTTCCAGTTGATGAATGATAAAAAATATTGACAGCCACTCAGCCAGTCAGAATCCATCTGACATTAAAGAGTGGCATATGACATCAGCGCATGCTTATAATTAAGGAGAAACTTATTGTCCCTGGGTGTGAACACTAATATAGTTATCCTTGGTGTGAACGGCCCTTTAGAGTGAATGACATGCGTGAGAGAAGCATATTCATTCTGCACTTATTTAAACCATTTCGAGACAGCAGACAAACCACGGCTAACAAAGCCCGGCAAGATCAATTCTGCTGCGGCACCGATACCATCCATAATCCGGCTGACTGCAGATGGTTTTGACTCCTCTTCTTTATGCATTTCTGATTTTAAGTGGTCAATCTGCCTCTGCATCTGGGAGGCTTGCTCCTGTAAGCCCTTCTGTAGAAGAGCGTCCTTCTCCTGCAATACAATGCAAACAGCCACAAGTGAAAGAATTGCTAAGTGATTTTGACCTTTGAAGGTGACTTCTCTGGAACAAAGTAAAAGTTTTGAAAGAAAGTATCCTGTTCTTACTCTTAGTTTGGCTTCCAGGACTCGTTGATTGTCTCTTCTCATTCTCTCCTGCTCTTTTTCCGTCTGACTAATGATCTGATTCACATGTTCCTTATGGGTTCTCTGCATGTCTTTAAACGCCTGCTCCTGTAAGCAGTTCTGTTCCTCTAGACCTCTTTGCCGCTGCTCCAGAATCTCATTCTTCAACCTCTGCACTGTATAATGAAAGAGAGACAGTATAATGAACTAATTCTGATGTAGACTTAAGACAAGTGGAAAATCAATTGCTGTCTATCACAGTTCTTTGTTGTCATTGTACTGTCTTATGTATCATTGAGAGCCTTGACTGATCGTTGACTGATAGAGAAGTGTGCAGCTGATTTGAATTGTACCCTCTTTTTCCTGTTCTGCTGCACTCAGAGATTGGTCAGCTCCTAGAATCATATTCCCAATATCTTCCTTTGCTTTCAAAAACTTGCTCAACACTTCTTCACTCTGTGAAAAAAAAAAATCATGTCAGGTCATGTGCTGTAAGTAATCCATACCACTGTTGTTTTTGCTACTAAAACTATTAAAATTTGTTTTTGTTCATTGAAATAAAACAAACAAAATATACATATTACATGAAAAACTAAAAAAAAAAAAAAATTTAAGTTAAAAATGTTGCTTTGGCTGTGATCACTAGAGTAGTACTGTAAAAGTTTCAGTAAGAACTTAAAAGCACCTGAGTCTTAATTTTAAGTCTTTATCTGACCCAGTGGAATGAAATATTCAAAATTCTTATTTGTGTTTCATGCCTGCATGTTATTTTTAGTCTTTATCAGCATTAAAGATGATCAGTGCTGTTGTGACCGTCCAAAACAAAGCAAAAGCAAAGCGTGCATGTGTGAACTGTACCATTATTTGTGAACGTGTTCTTGCTCTGTAGTCATTGGTCAGCTGTGTGAGCGTGTCTTTGTACTGTCGGTATCCTCCAGGTCTCAGGTATGATCCATCAACAACACTTTCTTCCAGTGTATCAAACACCTCACGCAGAACAGCTTCACACTGCTGGACAGATTCTTCCTGATTCTGCTGGCATATCTGTTGATATTCATCATACATTTTCCCCTAAAACAAGTGAAAGAAACAGAAAATGTGAGAAACTCTTAAATTTGTGCTCTACATTTGCAAAGATGTACTGTTAATTTGAGTTTATTTGTGTCAGCTGGTACCATGAGCTCTTGCTGGTAGATCTGGTCATTGTCATTGAAGGACATGATGATGAAAACGTCAATGGCCTTCTTCTCTGTGACTGTGTGGATGTCGGACAGCTCTTCTGGGCGCATAGGAAGCTGAGCCATGCTGAGCATCTCAGTCATGTAGAACTGCAGGGCCTGTTCCACTGCACGGACATTCTGGATCTTAGCCAGAGACACGACTGCATTCTCCAAACAAGGAACCTTACCACTGCGGATCGCTTCGACATAAACCTCAGCAAGATTACCCAGAGCTGTCAGGAAACACAACTCCTTAGTTCAGTCAGTCATCTGTTTTTTTGTTTTTTCACATTTTCATTGATCTCTGCAGATAGTTTTTTATCGGCTTAAAGCTGCTGTAAGTGATTTTGGAACAACACCCAAAATGTAAGAAAAGAGTTTGGTGCAGTACTTTGTGTTTGGAAGACAGAAAAGTGTTTTAGAAAATATACAAAAAAGTCGATAATACTAACGATAAAAAAAGCACTCAGCCAGTAATCAATATATTGTGCATCACTAATATTTCGATTGATATATATAATATGTCTAAAAAGAGAAAAGAAGATTTACAACAGTAGTTTTATAAATTTGTTTTTCTGCAAGGGTTTCTATGAAAGTACACACCTGTTCCAGTAATTGTACGGCCTCCGGTGACAGTTTTTGGATCCGCACTGTCAAAAATATAATGACAGAAGGTGTTTGCCTGCTCAAGGAACTCTGAATCCAATTCTTTCTCTGTCAGTTCCTCCATTCTTTTCTCGGTCAGTTCCTCCATTCTTCTCATGTTTTGCGTACTAGCAGGCCGAGTGAACACAAAGCACTTCCTCACCGCAAAGAAATGACGCAGACAGCGGCGGGGCAGGTTGTACTACTAGCAGGCCGAGGGAACACAAAGCACTTCCTCACCGCAAAGAAATGGCGCAGACAGCGGCGGGGCAGGTTGTACTGCTCAGTCTGAGGTGAGCTACCTAAAATAAGAAATAACATTACAAAAGAAATCAGTAAAAATTTGAACTGCTACAGTGTATTATATTTACAATAATTACTATTCCTTGCTGAATAGAACAGCATAGACTAGCTTATTTTGCCATGTTCTTCAGCGGGGGGTTTTCAGCAGGGATATTCATTTAATTTTGTGCTTAAATATGGCACAGCTGAAGGTAATGAATGGAGAGTGTATATTGCGTTTACTTTGGATGTTTAATGCCAGCTCTTTATCTCACCTGATTTGAGTGTCAATGCACTCTCCAGATACTCGTCTGATGTTATTTGCTTATTTCCCATTTTCAGTTCCAAAGTAAAGTCACGAACAGCCCAGACAAACGATGGAAAAACACGCATGAAATCTGCCGACTCCTCCTCATGTTGACCCACTTCTGCCTTCACACGAATGTTCTCTGTCAGCTCTGTAATGTAGCTACATTCAGCACTGTTCAGGAGGAATAACACTGCTGCACTGATAGAGTGTTTTCAATTTATTACTCTGGATGTGCATGTTTTTTTTTCTGTGTGAGAAGGATACTGCAGCTTTTCCAGTGCTGTGTTGTCAATGACCCCTAAACTGTTGTACACTAGAGTACTGCTGAGAAGAACCGACAGACAGAAGATCCATGTGTCATGTTTCTCATCCCCCTGAAATATCTAAGCCCACATTTTTGACTGGTGGTGTATATACAGTATATATTTATATATATATATATACATACAGTGCTGTTTGAAAGTTTGTGAACCCTTTAAAATGTTCGATATTTCTGCATAAATATATAACCCAAAACATCATCAAATTTTCACAGAGGTCCTGAAAGTAGACAAAGAGAACAAAGACAATATATATATATATATTTGTCTTTACTACAAAAGCACACTATGTGAGCAACAGGGTTTTAATACAATACCACTGCCTTGCAAGCAATGAAGGTATATTTTGTTGCAATGGAAATTGCAAGGCATTTGCTATGCCTTCCTCCTCACCTTCTTTACATCGCCAAGTCCCTCTGTGTCCAGCAGCACAAGAGTATGTCCTTCTTTATAGGGGTGAGTGACACACCACATCCAGATGCCTTTGGTCTTTGATTCAATGGTGCTGCCGAGAGCAAAGCCTGAGACAGTCACAATGACATAAATATCCAAGATGACATGTTACATTTAAATGCATGTACAATGTAAAAAAAAAAAAAAAATTCTTTATTCATATTGGTTTCGTGTATTTTTGACAAAACTATATTATTGTATATTATAACCACTTTTATCTATTTATGACCTTAAGTTATCAAACTGTGACTTAAGAAGACTTATATAATGCCCTATGGAATATTTTTAAATAGAGCGACTAGTACATTCACCAAAAATCTCCTTTTATGCAGATTAAAGACATCATACTGGTTTTAAATGTGTGAAAAAAATTCATTCAGATATTTTAGACATAAATCATAGGAGAGGTGTATTCAAGTTACTGTCTGTATGAAGAGCAAGAAAGTAGCACATCTGGACACACAATCATTCACCCATTATTTTAAAGTGTTATTATTATATTGCTCTATTTACTATATTTCTTTATTCTTATATTGTTTATTACATTGTTATTTTACCACAGTTAGTGTTTTCAGATATTGACAGATGTACACACATCCAACTTCTGCGTTCTTCTCATTATCAACATATACTGCACTTGAGAAAGACATTTAGCATTTTCTCTCACCGGACTGTTGTCCTGCCAGGCGGTTCATAAGGTAAGACTTCCCCGTACGGTAGAGTCCCACCACAGACACCACCACCACCGGCTCATTGATCCCATCCAGAATGTCTTTGGCCTCTTTTCTCAAGCGCAGCTTCCCATTATCATCGTTTTCAATGAGACAGACCGGAGCGGCCATGAGTCCGCCACACGCCATATCTCTACAAAAGAAGCAGGGACGTTCTTACAGCGTGTAAATACAAAATTTTTTACATTGCCGAACAGTGTATGTTGTTTAAACGATGTGTCCAGTGTAAAAGGTTTCTAAAATAGGTATCACACACTATATTTGACCTCAAATCTAAAAGTCATTCATCCTTAATGGAATTGACAGATGTGCTTAATTAGTCGGTACTTCAGGGCTGTGTGAGTGTGGAGTTGGGTTGATGATAAATGGACACTTCGTTTAAACGTGATTGTATATTGAAGTAGGCTACATTTACAGTTTTTTTTAAATAATTTTTGACTTACCGATAGTTGGACGACGTAAAATATCGTGTATAAAACACCGTTAGCGAGGTCTCTGGATTGGCTGCTGTATACCTCTTAAAACTCTCAACACAACCGGAGCAAAAGGGTTTCAAACCCCTTTTAGGCTCCTCCTGTGAGATACTTCGTTATCTTTTCCACCATAAATGGTACAGAGACGGGGCGTGTTCTCTCATTGGCGAATCGGTGATGCTGACACGAAAGTGAAACTAAAAGTGAAACAACACAGGTTCGGTTCGATCACTGAAATCGACCGTTTACCGTCAAGTCAGCTACAGAAGAATATGGGCGGATACTGAGAAACAATCTCATCGTTGTGGTAAATAAGACCCATAAACTTGACTGTGCGCACAGAGAAGTATCGCGGAGGGAGAGAGAGCCTCGTGACCATCTGTACTCTAAAGTAGAGTCAATACATTTTAAATTTAGTGTGACGTAAGTGAACTTTATTTTATTTATTATTTTCTTTGGTATTTATTCAAAAACAAATGTAGAACATCCATTCAAGATTTTCAATTGTGCAAATGTACATTTTGTTTACAATCTGATTTTAAATTATATATATATATTTTTTTATGAATATTTAACGTTTATTTTAACTTTGAATTACACACTCTAATTATGTGAGTATCTGAAGGAGTGTGGTTACTCTGAAATTTATGGGCTCGGAAAACCTAACAGGAACACATTCAAATCTCAGGACGTGTGTTGTGTCATTCTGTAGTGCTTCTGAATCGCATGATGTTGACCAAAAGATGTCAGACCTGAGGCCGCTATCATAAACCAGGGCTGCCAACTTTTGAGTTTAACTGGGAGTGAGAATTCCTATGGAGGGTGGAGTTGGGGTTGAAAAAAAAAACCTGTCTGCAGAGTTTTGTCTGACAGACATGTTAATGTCATAATGACTGGTAATGTGTTTGTACAAAACAAAAAGGCTTAACTTTTCACCACAAGAAGAATAGGAATGTACAGTGAGCAGGATGTACAAGTAATTGCTTTTACAAATAATTGCAACCGCATTTCAAAAATATTTTGATACAAAAAAAGTATTGTCTGCATTTACATGCACATCCATTTTGACAAATTATATTTTTCTCCCATCCATTGCTATGATTATTACTATGCCAATCATTGAAAAATGTGAAAGTGAAATCTGCCAACTTTTAGTCAAATTCTGAATAGATTATATGTAGCCTAAAGAGCGCTTCCTTTATAATCACTAAAAAGCTGTCACTCACTTCAGTTAATCGCGATCTCACAAAGTTATGTTATTGAAGCTATCTACACTGCACAATGAGTCTCTTACATTGTGTATAAACCTTGTTACAATGAGAGGAATCGCGAGCATGAAGAATTCCGGAGTCTTAAAAAAAAAATCCAGTGTATGAACAGATGTTATAAATACAATACACTTAAATATAAATATTATGATAAAAAATCTGGAGTTTTTAACAACTTAAGATAATAAAAATATAAAAATGTAAAAATTTAATATTTTAAATAACTTAAGATATTAAATCGTGGCTACACACAGGCTACGTATTGAACATGTCAAAGAAATGAAACCAAACACCTGGTAAACGCTGTTACTTTGCTTACATTATGGAATATCATACATCTCACTAGTTATTTTGCCAAAAAACGACATGAAACCAAATTCAAGGTTATTTGGGCTAGAAGTGGGTTACACATAGCCGGACTATATCGGGTCTATACTTAACCGAGACGTTGAAATGACGGCTATTGCTTGCTGGGAAGTGAATTCTTATTAATTTGAAAGCAGTGGCCAATCAGGTGTTCAAGAAATCGACAGATATGTCTGTGATTGGCTACATTGCTCAACGCTACAAGAACAAGTTGTAAATAGAAACTTTTGACACTCTCCAGAGCACAAAAACAAATACACACCGAAGAGGTTGCCAAATCTGTATTATTATCATAGACTGTATAAAAACATGGACGTAGTGTTCGTGACGTCACCCGTAGATTTCCGAAGAGCGTTTTTGAAGCTCAAAAGTGGGCGGAGGCAGCCGTCGCCATCTTGGCAGCGCGTCACCGCGCGTCACTCCTGGATAATCGAAAATGGGCAAAGAGGCGGGAGCAGGTTGCTGAAGCCACGCCCACCTAGCTCGACGGTGGTGACAGCAGCGGCAATCCACCTGTCACGCAAGTGGCCACGCCCTTAATTATGCAGAACTTTAAGGTTTCATATAATTTAAACGGATGAGTTATAAAAAAAATTCACCCCCCCTCACAGTTGTCATGAAGGGCAAAATTAGCTATATAGACCAAAATCATTTTTTGAACCAGGCTGTAAACATGTTTTTTTCTGCTGTAAAGTTGGGCATTTTAACATGGGGAGTCTATGGGATTGACTCCCTTTTGCAGCCAGTCACTTCCTTGTTGGCTTCACGAGAGAGAGCGGGAGGTTGCCGCTTGATTATTATGTACAGTTTTAACTGAACTGCTATTGCATTCGTTTGAGGGTGCGTGAGAAAATGGACGTGTGGTGTGAGACCGCCCCCCACTGTTGCTACGTCCGACAAGCCATGACTCTCTTACGCCACACATCATGTTCTCACGGTTCTCACAGTGAAAAATACAAGACGGAGCAAAGAGGACACTGACAACACGCTGACAGACAACACAGAGCAGGTTACATTTGGTATGAAACAAAGTCTCAGCTTTCAAATTTTGTCATTTTTTAAAGAAATTCAAACAATAAATACCGTTTTGTGGCTCTTTAATGTGTAGCGACAGATCGCTGTAGCACCTCAGTTCAAGCGGCACGTGAACCGATCATCTCTTCCTCTTTACTAGTTATAGCACGAAATAAACATGAATGAACACCAGAAGGTATCTTGTTTCAACCGTGGAAAGACGTCAATACACACCATTTTCAAGTTCAAGTACACCGACGTTAACCTACTCTCCTGTCTAGTTTGTTTGTTGTACAAAACGACAGACTCTCTGTTATGATTGGTCAGATGATCGTCTGTCAATCAAGCTCCTGCTGAATGCATGAGACGCATAACCCCAACCGTAAAAATACTTTATCATAAAAAAATACTGTGCAATTAACCGGTTTAGTGTATTATTGCTGTTAAATAAATAAATAAAATAAATAAATAAAATCGTCATATTATTGTATATGTTGGTGTCCAAATCCCTAACTGAAAGTGGGCAGTGATTGTTGCCATAGTCATAAAGGTCTCAATCCTGATGTTTATTTTTTTTAATAAACCATGTAAAATTGCAAATGCATATAAGTAAATATGTATTTGAAGCCAGAGGAAATATTTTAATTTGTGAGTTAACCTGACCTGTATGGCACTATTATCTTTCTCCATTTTTTGCTTCTAGTATTAAAAATCTTAAAGACAAAAGGTACTAAGTTACCCCAAGTCATCAAAATTTGCCATTTCTAATCACTATATAATCATGCAAATATCTCGCTAACCAGCTGAAATCATAATTCTAGTAAAGTAATAAAGCATGTGAGTGACCATAATGACAGTTGCCTGTCAGTGACCATTTTATTTTTTTATAGAGGTTAATAATAGATATTTAATTCCTAACAGGATGCAAATAGAGCAATATACTGGAGAGTCAGTGAAGAATTAGTTGTTTTGCAGTATGTTGTGTAGGTTTTTAATGTATATTTTTTTCATAATTTTCTGTAAAGTTGCTTTGCAACGATTTGTACTGTGAAAAGCGCTATACAAATAAACTTGAATTGAATTGAAAACTTGAATTTCTTTTTTTTTTTTTACAATATTCTGTTTGCAGTAACCAAATTGTTGATTTTTCCTTTAGCAAACAGGAAGAGCTAGAAAGAGCCAACATGTCAAAAGCCAGACTAATGCCTTCCCCCATTTGTTTGGTGGAGAATGTGAACGAATCACTCAGCGCCTGTAAGGATGCCATTGAGTTCCTGAGTAGGATCAATGAGCCGGTGGTGGTGGTGTCTGTGGTGGGACTCTACCGTACGGGGAAGTCCTACCTTATGAACCGCCTGGCAGGACAACAGTCAGGTGAGAGAACCATCTAGACATACCAGCTGAATGTGTACATATTAGCTACATGCTAATTATAATAATAAAAACATGGTTGTCTCAGGCTTTGCTCTCGGCAATACTATTGAGTCGAAGACCAAAGGCATCTGGATGTGGTGTGTCCCGCACCCCTGTAAGGAAGGACACACTCTGGTGCTGCTGGACACAGAGGGACTTGGTGACGTGGCCAAAGTGAGGACAAGAATAAAGTTGTAGACTTAATAGACTTGTTGATATATGTTGTGGATGATTTGATCTGAAGACTCTGTGTGTTTCAGGGAGACTCTAAGAATGACGGCTGGATCTTCTGTCTGGCTGTTCTGCTCAGCAGCACATTGGTGTACAACAGCCACGGCACCATCGATAACACTGCATTGGAAAAGCTGCAGTATCCTTTAACCTGCCACATAGCCCACTTCCTCTTTCACATATACAAATGTACACTTTACAAGATGCTGTTATTTCTTAATGTGCTGCAGCTATGTTGCTGAGCTCGCTGAGAATATTAAAATCAGATCAACAGAAGTAGCAGATGAGGAGGAAGAAGAGGATTCTAAGTTTGTGCAGTTTTTCCCATCATTCACCTGGGTCGTGAAAGATTTCACCTTGGAATTGGTAATTGAAGGAAAGAGAGTGACTGAGGACGAGTACCTTGAATTTGCCCTCCAGCTCAAGAAAGGTATTTAAGAAAGACATAAACATAGCTAGAATTTGAAGTATATGTAAATAAACAGTGACTGAATACTGACAAAAGAAAATATTTCTTAGTGCATTTTGGTAAAAATGTGCTATTTTCTCCTAAAAGGTGTGAGCAAGAAAGTCAGTGACTACAACCTGCCTCGTCAATGCATCCGAAACTATTTCCCATCCCCCAGGAAGTGTTTTGTGTTCCCTTCTCCAGCCTCACCTGAAAACATGACACGTTTAGAAAGCTTGCAGGAACGGGACCTTGTACCCGATTTTCTGGAGGTCACGGGTCGTTTCTGTGACCACATCTTTCATAATAGTGTCGTGAAAACAGTGAAAGGAGGACACAGAGTT